ACCTTTAGTTGTGTCAAACATAAATACACACCTTTAGTTGTGTCAAACATAAATACACACCTTTAGTTGTGTCAAACACAGGTACACACCTTTAGTTGTGTCAAACACAGATACACATATTTACTTGTATCAAACACAGATACACACTTACTTGTGTCAAACACAGATACACACCTTTTCTTGTATCAAACACAGATACACATTTAGTTGTATCAAACACAGATACACACCTTTACTTGTATCAAACACAGATACACACTTACTTGTATCAAACACAGATACACACTTACTTGTGTCAAACACAGATATACACCTTTAGTTGTGTCAAACACAGATACACATCTTTAGTCGTGTCAAACACAGATACACACCTTTAGTCGTGTCAAACACAGATACACACCTTTAGTCGTGTCAAACATACATATAGTTTTTTATGTATTATTTTTACAGTTAATCTTTTTTTTCTTGGTATTATAATTACTGCCAACAAGTCTGTTGAAATTCTAGCCTGTGAAGAAGACGATGTCCATTTGGAGCTGATCACTGGTGTCTACCTGGAGATTGACCCTTATAAAAAAACGACAGACCTTACCCCTCACCAGTGTCTCAAAATGTGTAGAAACGAAATTATGTGTCATTCTGTTAACATTAACTACCGCACGGGGACGTGTCAGTTCAATGCCGATGGTTTGAGCACAGAATTAGAAAAGAATTTAAAGGAAAACAAACATTTCAACTTCTTCGAGAAAATCTGTTTACCGGGTTAGTGCATTTTTTATAATATTTTCATAATGTAGTGAATCCGAATTTGTATGACATTAAAATGTAGGTGAAATTCATCAAAAACAGATATTCAGAATTGTAAACATTGTCATTGTATGAGTTTTCTATTGTGAGACGTGATCAGTAGGTGATAATTACTTTTACTCATGCCCCCAGTGGCACAGCGGTATGTCTGCGGACTTACAATGCTAGAATCCGGGTTTCGATACCCGTGGTGGGCAGAGCACAGATAGCCCATCGTGTAGCTTTGTGCTTAATTACAAACAAATAAACAAACTTTTACTTATCATACGTCAAATGTATAGCTGATGTCACGCTCGTGATTTAAAGTCTTTCTAACCAGCCATACCTCATTTGACAAGTTGAATCAGTCTTTCATAATCCTTACGCCAGTTTGTGAAACAATACATTATTAGCCAGCCGTTGTCTACATGCAGTGCAAGTTTTTATCTCGTTCATTTCGAGCTACTGCTTCTGCACTTTTAAATATTGAGTAATTTGGTGTTCTTTTCTCTGATAATGGATCCATCAGGCAATGGCTGCCGAAGAGACTGGGCTTTTGAGCGTGTCCGGGGCAAGGAACTAGTCGATGCCGATCAGCAGAAGGTCACGGTGGAGGCGAACACTCGCGAAGAATGTGAAGCGGCCTGCCTCCAAAGCCAGAGCTTCGCGTGCCGGTCGGCGGAGTTTAACCACCAGCTCAGTGAATGCAGGATAAGTCCCCACAACAGGTTCTCATCGTCGGAGGAGGGCGTTTCCCTCTCGAGTGCCCGATTTGTGGTCGACTACTTGGAAAATAATTGCATTAGAGGTGAAAATTGTGTGTTATTACAATGGAAAGAGTGTAAAAAATTTGTTAATAAAACGTCAGACTTTCCAAGAAGTTATTTTTTTATAATACACTTGAATTGCTCTTGTTATTTAGGTCTATCGAAGAAGGTATATTAAAATTTAAACAATATAAAGATTGTTTTAAAGATTATGTTAAACGGAGATCTTTATGACTTTGTATAATATCAGCTTCTTGTCTACTGGTTTATTATCAGAGCTAATGTAATATTTATTATGGTAAACTGGAAAACTGCGAAAAAAAACTGCTGATAGTTTATACATGCTTTCCTATTAAATGATCGCTGGAGTTCTCAGGTGTTGCAGTCCAACAAAAAAGTTCACATTTCTGTTGCTTCGTCGTTAATTGCCTACATCTAGAATAAACTTTTATTGTGAAGTTAAACGATTGTTTTTTTAAATAACTAATTTTCATTTTATGAAAACGTTAATCTAGTTTTTTCCGTTTTTTTACCATTTTAGAACCTCGAGGTTTCTGCAATTTAAAGATGCACCGACAACAGATGGCGCTAGTAGCAGATAACATTAGGTTTGCTATGAGTATTGATGAATGCCAGCAGCAGTGTTTTCACAATGAGGATTTCATATGCAGAGCTTTCTCTTACGATTCCCTGGCTCGGACATGCGCAATGAGTCATCACACTCTACAAACTCCTCCAGATGGCACTTTTGCTAGATCTAATACAAACGATTTGATAGAAATTTCTACATGTTTTGACGGTAAGCAGTAGTGTTATTTTTGCCACTATGTACCTAATGTGGACCTATGTGGTTTTACTGTACAATATTAACAATATCATTTGTTATACCTAAGTCTAAAAAAATTCACCGTATTTGAATGATTTTTTCCAATGATTTGTAATAAAAAAAGACTTGTAAAGTATTTTATAGTGAATAAATACAAACATCAGTCAGGTAAAATAATCTAAGCCTACTTTCTACTCCTATGGGTACCTATCTATCCTAACTGAAAACTCATGTTTTGATGAAAAATGTCTGTTACTTGTAAACAATAGTTAGAAATTAAACAGCCACAACATTGGGCTGGTGGTTAGGGCTCGACTTGATGATCGCGGGTTCGAATATCTGTTATCGAACATGCTCGCCCTTTCAATCATAGGGGCGTTATGACGTGAGGGTCAATCCCACTATTTGTTGGTAAAAGAGTAGTCCAACAATTGGCGGTGGGTTGTGTTGCGTTGGCTAGCTGCTTTCCCTCTAGTTTATCAACGCTGAATTAAGAACGGCTAGCGCAGATAATAAATAGCTCTCGTGTTGCTTTGCGCGAGATTCAAACAAATTAGCCTTAACAATATACGCTACTTACAGTATTGGGAGGAAGAGGTCTAGATTGAACTTGGCCCTCTTAGATCTATAAAGACGATATGGACGAACAAACGCTACTTACATAATTATGACGTCGGTTTTATTTCCGTCTAGATATTTCTAGTATAAGTGTTCAAATAAAAACTGGACTTAGCTCTAGCTCTATTAGTTAGATTAGTTGTAGATTTTTCTTTTGATTAGTTTTTTGTTGTTTTTTTTCTATCGGGTCCTTTGTAAAACTTCTACAAACTTCTCTCTTGATTTTAGTAAGAATATAATGAATTAATTCGGTTCATTGAATAGGCAATTACTGTGCGACATACTGTGGTGAATATCGATCAGAAGTAAATATCATTTATATATTATCGCAAACCCCTTTTGGTTAACAGTTTTCTCTTGGAATATTGAAACCTCATAAACTCTTTTCTGTGTATCGTGATTTTACTGTGAGTCCTAGTATTGAACGAAAAGTCTCGTCGGCACTAGATTTAGTGGATATGGTGTGGTTGACATAATATTACATTCCTCTTTAGTTTCAAACACAAGTTCTTATCATTTTGGAGCTAGTCGTTTTCTCATAGGGGCCGCAGGATGCCCTTTGGTCGATACCCTCGACCTCAAACTTCCTTATTCAAGAAGCACGTACATTACAATGAATAACACCTGCTAAGGTCAATGTATTGGAATTCCTTTGAGGAACCGTCTTGGAATGCATGACGCAGATAATTTGTCTTTGTCAAGGAGTTTTCTCCTGTCGTGTGGAGAGAATTAGAATAGAATAACAAACACAATTTAACGTGAAGGTATTATTTCTTATATAATTAATATATAAAAGTCTATAAGTGCCCAATAGAGGTCGTCACTATTGAGTTGTATTGTCATGATCATAAATGTATTTATTTTTAAATAGACTAGTCCTCTTGTGTTCAAGCAAAGCTTTTTAAGATTTTTTTAAAATCAAGAACAACGTTTATAAAGCTGTTAATTTTTACAGTGAGAAAATGATGGCTGTGATGATAAACTTAGATAACTATTAACGTCTAGGTTTTTGAATTTGTTTGTTTTTGCTGTTTGAGATGGAATACTCGAAACAGCTTAATGACGTTTATACTGTTGTGACGTCGTTCTTTCAATGGCGAGTCCTTTTACATTATCTAGTGAATAAAATTGAAGAAACAATACACATAACGATAACAAATTTCTTTATTTCCTCCTTCAACGTTTCTACAAGCTTGTACACTTGTACACTGTAGTAAGTTGTAAGCCTACGTTACAAATGACATTCAAGTTTCTAGCTCAATATAGGAATAACGTAAGATCAAATCAACTTAATTGCATAGAGTAACCGTGATAACTTACACGTTGGTTGATTCACTCTACTATCTTCTTGAAAAACTCGAACTTTCTTGACTGTCTCGTATATATATAATATACTTTATAATATGCTAGAAACTTTGTCACATCCTTAAAACTTTCTAAGTATTCTAGGCCTAACTTAATAACCCTTTTGATCTGAAAGTCATCATAAAGACCCGCAGCTCCCTCTACTTAACATTTAAATTACAACTTAAAAAATATAGCTTACAACAATACATTTATTTCTAGCAAAGTGATCTAAGTATGTATGGCGTAATACCGAATATTAATAATAAATATATCGAACGAATATAAACGAAATGCATGAGGTTGTGTGGGACTGACTTAATGTGGCAACAAGATGCATGGAGTATATGGGGCTGAAGTAATGTGGTAACTGGATGCATGGGGATATGTGGGGGCTGAAGTAATATGGTAACGAGATGTATGAGGGTGTGTGGAGTTGACGTAATGTGATAATGAGATGCACGGGGATGTGTAAGGCTGACGTAATGTGTTAACGAGATGCAAGGGGATGTGTGGGGCTGAAGTAATATGGTAACGAGATGCACGAGGGTGTGAAGATTTATCGTTGTCTCTACAGTGAACGTGGTATTGTGAAAACGTGACTAACGAAGCTATCTAATCATTCTTCTCTTTCAGTATTTGTCAACTGTGAGCCGAACATGATGAAAGCCAAGGTTGTGACAAATTCATTTTTCAATGGAAAGATCTACGCTAAAGAAAAGCCTAAATCTTGTGTCCTTGATGTAAGCCAGAGCTTAGAGTTTACCTTACCGATCCTTCTGGCTGGATCCGACTGTGGAACTGTCAATGAGGTATGTTTTATATAAAGAGCCATCCAACAAAAAGTACCAGTCATTCTATAGAAATGATATTTTGTTTATTATCAAGCCCATAAACCTTTAAGCGATTCAAATAAGTCAGTAAAAAAAGCCCAAACCTAAAATAGACTTTAATTTACCCTCATTTGTGCCAGATTATTTGCGTCCATATCTAGTAGTTCAATTAAGCTTAGTATATGACTCAGGTCCAATTATTGTGGGGAATATTAAAATGTCAAAGGTTAAGGACTTCAAGTATCGCTGTTCGTGATGAGTAGAAAACTGTTCATTAGTAGAACAAGTACGTTCTCACGAGTGCAAGAATAGAACACTAGGCCTAACGAGAGCGCAAAATGAATGCTGTGTCTAAACTGAAGAGTCATTCCTTTGATACTGATATTTTCTAACATTATTTCTCAGGGACTTTCATATAATTAAAGTGTGAGAGCAATCAAACGCTCCTTGTTTGTCAAACCATTTCAAGTTCGTTTCCATATGTACTCATGAAATCATTACGTAGTGAAAGATGAACCAATTACTAGAAGCCTAGTTGCACAGAGTGGTAGAATGCCTGTAACACGGGAATAAAGTATGCTTTTGTTGTCTTTTGGTGTTACGAAGTCGGTTGGAGTTTAGAATGTGTACGTGATAGTTTATTAAATTAATTTTTTCCTTAATAACTCATGAAAATTAATTATATAAACATGTGAATTCTGGAACATTAGGTATACACTACTATTCTTGATGACCTACGACGCTTTGAAATTTTCGTATTAAGAATTATTTTAATAATAAAATGCTGAAATAAGATTTCAAACACTTACTTAAAATATATTCCATCAATTAACTTACTGCTTTAAATTTTTGTAAAGAAAAAAGGAAAATAGATAAGTCTTTGTTTGTTTTAGAGCCAAGCCACATTTGGCTATCTGTTGTATCCTTCGCGAGTAATCAAACCCCGGATTTTAGCGTTGTAAATTCGTGGACTTACCGCTGTCCCACTGGGGGACATAGATACCATATTTTTCGGAATATAAGACACACCCTTATTTTTAAGACAAAGTTTTGGGGTAAAAAAGCTACAGTCTCATTTGAAGGAATTTTATTGAACAAAAATTCAATTTGATACT